CCAATCAACGTTGCAATTAACTATTTAATTTCCAGAGTTGCATTCAGCCAAACTGATTCCCAGAGTGAGAGTGAGAGAGGGGACACAACAGAGAAACTAACAAGAGAGAGATGAATGTGGTTAAAACGCCCAGACCCCTACTACACTGTCCGACGAGTCACCCTTGATATCAAAGGACATGAGCTCTCTCTCTCTCTCTCTCTCTCTCTCTCTCTCTCTCTCTCTCTCTCTCTCTCTCTCTCTCTCTCTCTCTCTCTCTCTCTCTCTCTCTCTCTCTCTCTCTCTCTCTCTTATACATCCTCGGCTCACAACCAAGGAGTCCTGATTTAATTCCCGGACAAGACTGACAGTTGGGTATGAACAACCACAAGATGAACCCAACCACAGGATGAACCGGTTCCAGACAGGTGGTGGAGTTGATCACTACCAGGGAGGTGTGGGGGGTTGATGGGGGGCGTGACCCTCCCCCGGCTCCACACAATGCCGCCATCTCCACAACCATCCCATTAAACAATCACGCTCTTAACAACAATAACACCACCACTGGTAACACTGGTTATTATAGATTGTTAATCTAATCAACACCACCACCAACAATCACCATCGTCGTCACTATCAACAACAATCACAGCCATTAACACCAATATCTTCACTATTTCCAACAACAATCACTACCTCCAACACCGCCAATGCATCACTACCATCAACAACAATGGCCTAAACATCATTGTCACTGATAACAACAATTCCACGGTCCACACAATCATTATCACTGTCAACAGCAGTATCAAGGCCAACACAATCAATGTCACTGTCAACAGTACCACGACCCCTCACAAATATTATCACTGCCAACAGTACCACGACCCCTCACAAATATTATCAATGCCAACAGTACCACGACCCCTCACAATTATTATCACTGCCAACAGCAGTAACATAATCCACACAATCATTGTCACTGCCAACAACAGTATCACGGCCGTCACAATCACTGCCCAGTGTACAATAACACCACCACCACCACCCCTACTGATAGTGTCATCCCCACTACCATCACCCCTCACCAGTCACCACAGCACTACCACCATCATGACCATCACTCACATCAACTATCATCATTCCCAGTGTTCACTATTAGGTAAGCACAAACACCACCACCACCAACCACAAACACCACCACCAGCCACAAACACAACATCAGTACCACCACCACCCACACAAACATCACCACCACCACCCACAAACACAACATCAGTACCACCACCACCCACACAAACATCACCACCACCAACCACAAACACAACATCAGTACCACCACCACCCACACAAACATCACCACCACCAACCACAAACACATCAGCACTACCACAACCCACACACTAGTGCCCGAATCTAACCAACCCGAGGACCTACGAAGAGAAAATGGAACACCGAGTCAATTTCGCAAGCCGCTACCATTTCAAGCACATCAGTTTTTGGCCTCAGGTAAAGTATACGTCAATAATGCGACGTGTTATTAGGCGAATGAGTGAGGTAGCGAGCCAGCTGAAAGATGGGTGGGCAGGACCCAAGAGTGCATTGACGAAGCTATTCCCTTCTACTCTTAAAAAAAAAAGCTAACTACATCTAGTTAGCTTTTTTGACACACTGTACTCCACTTCATATAGTCTAGGGTAGCTGCACTAATTCAGATGTATCTCATGTATTAATAAAAAAAAATTCTACTCTTAATCCTTTATATAGTCCAGGACAGCTATGTAAATATGAATGTTCCTATGTTAATGGCGAAAAAAACAAATGCCACTAGCCGAGCGAAGTCCTAACATGTTAATACTTCACACACTGATTTTAACTTGTATATTATACTTGGTGAGCTGTCTGCTTAGCTGTCTGTCAGCCTCAGCCTGCCTATCTCTGTCTGTTTAATCTGTCTTTGTATCACAAACATTTTTTTTTACTTCTCTTAATTCAATCTTCGAGATCTTACCCATGTGCCTCCCCGCAACCACTCCTCTCCGTCAGCTGAAACTGGAGACGTTGTACCGCCTCATCCGACCTTTCCCAGCTGACTTTCCTTCGTCCTCTCCCCCCCTTCCCACTACACACACACCCCATCCCCCTCACACACACCCCATCCCCCCACACCCACACACACCCACCACATCCCACCCCCACGTACACATATACACCCACCCACACACACACCTTCCCCACACACACACACAATTCGGTTCTTTTCACTTATTGATGAAGAAAACCCTTAGTCTGAGCACCGTTTCTACCACACCCAGCGACAGGGATATTGTCACCTGAGTTACAGACACCTGAAGCTACTTCCTCTCTTTGGATATGTCGAAAAAGCAGTCCATCCTCATATAATGAAAATACTTACAGTATCTATGTGCTCGATAGTACAAATATGCCATGATAGATCACCAGAAAAGTTAACTTTTGTATTATAGAATTTGGACAAACTGGAAAATATTTTACATTTATGTTGCAAATAAGATCTAACCTAATCCCCCCTAGGCCTAATACACGCTGAGGCCTAATATAGTACATATATGTGCTATATTAGGCCCAGGAATATTTAAGTTTGGTTTTTAGCTTTATATTTTTTTCGGACTGTAAAAATAGTACAAAATGTGACTTACTAGCGGCCCCATTACTACATATTGATACTTTTGACCATGTAGTTACAAAAAGAACTATCATTTCAGGAGGATGAGTTGCGAAAAAGACATCTTACAATAATAATAGTGACTAAATATATCAGTATATAAAACCACACCATCAGGGATATCAAAAATCAGTAGTAATGATAATTAAAATGTTATCAATTTTACTATTAACAAATACAAGTTATGAAATGATTTAAAACAGATTTAATTACATATCACCTTACTGGATTCAGCCAGTCATCGACACTCACCACCAGTCACTTCTACATACCACCCCAGAGAGTCATGCCCCCCTGTCACACTACCTCAGTCAGTCAGTCAGTCAGTCAGTCAGTCAGTCAGCTTAGCACCACTCACAACACCTGTTTTTCTGTCTCAAGCTACTCATCTCACACCTTCCACAATCCATCACCTTTTTTATGACTATGTCTGTCTTTTTTGTATTTCTTTGGCTGTGTTTGCCTGTGAGTATCTGCATCTCTCTGCCCGCATCTGTCTATAGCTATATGTCTCTATTTGTGCTTGTCTGTATGTAGTTGTCTGTCTCTTTGCCTTATCTGTCTGTCTGTGACTGTCTATGCCTCTCTGCATGTGTCTGTTACCTTTTTCTTTTTCTATTTGCATTCTCTATTATTCTTCCCATGACCTATATTCACACCGAAATTTACAACAAGGCTTACCTATCGACACCTCTGCTATGTGAGAGCATGGTTAAGGGGGCCTGCATATGGTCCACAACAGTCTCACCTCATAAGGGAAGAACAACATACACTGTGGTCCACAACAGTCCCACCTCATAGTGGAAGAACACACACTGTGGTCCACAACAGTCCCACCTCATAGTGGAAGGACACACACTGTGGTCCACAACAGTCCCACCTCATAGTGGAAGGACATACACTGTGGTCCACAACAGTCCCACCTCATAGTGGAAGGACATACACTGTGGTCCACAACAGTCCCACCTCATAGTGGAAGGACATACACTGTGGTCCACAACAGTCCCACCTCATAGTGGAAGGACATACACTGTGGTCCACAACAGTCCCACCTCATAGTGGAAGGACATACACTGGTCCACAACAGTCCCACCTCATAGTGGAAGGACATACACTGTGGTCCACAACAGTCCCACCTCATAGTGGAAGGACATACACTGTGGTCCACAACAGTCCCACCTCATAGTGGAAGGACATACACTGTGGTCCACAACAGTCCCACCTCATAAGGGAAGAACAACACACTGTGTGGCTAACAAGACCCCCCCCCCTTCCTCATTAATGAGAGCAGGATCCACACCAGAGCACAAGAATAAAAGAAACACCCCTAACGCCATGATGTCCCAGAATATGGCAGCAACGATAATGAAAGTGAAGATATGTCAAACGAAAATTGTATATATATACAAAATATTAGTGATACGACTACTATCATCACAATGATAGATATTTCAATACATTAACAAAATCCACAGTAATGGTAATTACGCCTTGGGCAACACACTTATTGATAAAACTCATGGATAAGAGATATTCTCTGGTAATAACACAAGATAACATTAAAGTATTCTCTTCAAATTTCACTCCAAATAACAAATTATTATGCTTGACTCTCAATGTCCATTTTCAGCTTATCAAGAAAATCACGGTAATATGTAGAAACTGCAAACATGATACAAGCATTGCCATATGAACATGCTAGGCTACGTCTATATACAGTATATATATTTGTTTATCTATATTTTATTTAGAAATGTCTTATATAGTTGGAAATGAATTTCCATACTTGTAAATGAAGAAACTCAACTACACAAAACTTAATAAATTTGAATATGACTGCCATATTTTTGTATAAGAGTTAAATGTGAAATTTGGTTGTTCTCACCGACCTTCATGTATCACTACCCAAAAAATATATATTTGTGTTAAACACAATATCTTATCCCTGCCACAAGCACAGCTCATTTGAGACAGTGACGTCATGCTGATTCATCTTCCCCAAGCAGCTATGTCTGAACATGATCTAAATAGTTGCTCTAATTGGTAAACATCTTGTCAGTACATTTCAGAAAATAACTTTCCACAAACACACACACCTTCCACCCCTTCGAAAACCAGGAGTCGAACCTTGAGTCGCCTCCACGAAATGACGCAGCACCTGACTTACACGTAACACTTACTAACCACTTGTATCACCAACCTGGCTTACTGGAAACACACACACAACCAAGAGTGTATATCTTGGACAGGGAAATACCACAGGAAACCTGTTAATTATAAGGAGTTGGGGAAGGAAGAGAGAGAGAGACGTACTCACCGTTGCCCTCCATGGATCTGAGTGCCAGGTATCCGGCCATGCTCGCCTCCGCAGGGCTGCCAACACAACTTCCTTATATATCTCTCAGGTTAAGGGGGCCAACTCGGTCACACCTTGAGGGTTAAGTGCCATTCGCGTGTTAAGTTAGAAGACCACGCCAAAGGTGCTTGTTACAACGTAGGGGGAAGAACGTCTTGCAAAATTTCTTCAGCAGTGGATATATTTTGAAGGCCGCGCTGAAATATGCGAACGAATACTTTAATAATCAATATGGATGTCAGGTATTTAAATTTTAGCGAACCTTGTATATTAATGACTGGGATGAGAAGTAAATATTACTCTGATAAGGTGACACCTCACACCTGGCTGGGACAACAAGATCTGACAAGGGTGGGACATTTTCCGAGCGGCTCGCGAAGCGCAACAGCCTACTTTCTTAACCACAACGGCCCTCTCTTTCTCCACCAAACATAATACAACTACGTCAAACATAATTCATATTTTTACTATAAATTTTCACGTTAAAATCTAAATTCTAGCCGAGGCCTTCAAAGCCGCCCGGAAAGGTCCTTGGCCAAACAGATGTTGCATCATACGCAGGAAACATCGCACACTGGTCTTGGCCAGACACTCGCACACGTAGTCTTGTTAATTAGCAATATATATGCACCTGCTATACCCTGCTCCATAGGCCCAGACTCGTACGGTGGAGCCGCCGGTACTGCAGTAGTCGCTCCGACCTCCGACCCGTACAGTGCGCGCAGCCCGACTGACCCACCACCGGCCGCGCCACCACCCTCTTCTTGCTCTACCTTGTCTCTACCTCTTCTCCTCTATCTCTCCTCGCTTCACCGCCTTCTATTTCCTCTAACACTTCTTCTCTACCTCGCCTTGCTATGCCATCCTCTTCTGGTCTATCCTCGCTCCACCGTCCTCCTCTGCTCTGCCTCTCCTCGTTCCTCCAATCTCCTCTGCCCTCCCACTTCTTCTCTAAGTCTCCTCGCACCACTACGCCAGGAGCACTCTGCTCCACATACCTGCTCTCTGACAATGGTCTGGTGCTCAGGGGAGGTTGTTAATGTTCCATGTGTAAAATAACCTATTTGTCTCGAACACTTCCAGGTTCTTATTCTTGTTGTGGTAAACGACTATAACGAGTCTTTGTTGTTATTTTCATATTTCGATAAGGCCTATCCTAACAATAAGTTCATGTCAATTGGTGTATTTTAAGTATGCTGATTCTTAAGGCAATAAATATTTATTGCTAATGCTTGTCTCAAGCCAAATGAGGTGAATGTTAAATAATGTTTATATAATTTGTAAATCCTCTGCTGACATGCTTATTGTAGAGCTGTATTTCATATCCTAGCATTGCAAACATTCATATAATGTACTTTAAAGCTTGTCAAGCAACTTACAACCAGGAGAACTGCATTGCTTGTGAGTGTGATGTAAACATTGGTGGGCTAGCAGAGCGAGGAGTGTGGTGGTCATATGCAAGGTGCTGAGAATGCAGGGCAAGATTGCCCCGTGCCCTCATCTGGGAAATCTTGCCCCACGTCGCCTCATCGTACATGGAATATATATATACTGTCACCTCTGCCAATTTGCACTGGCACTTCCTCTGCCTTCGAAGATGTCGAGGAGTGCTTCAGCGACACGCGTCAGACCTATTAAAACTGTATAACGAACTTTGGCGAGTTTATTTTTCTACTTCCTCCCAAATGAAGGACATAAGAAACACAAGATTCATGCTAGAATCACTCAACCATTTTGGGTTATGTATCTAAAAATTAAATCTATAGTCCCCAGTTCGAGTCCTGTAAGTTCTCCAGAATTAGATATACCAACCATCAAGGATAAACCAAAATAAGCAGAGATAGACAGAAACAGAGATATAGATATGGCGAAGAGCAAATGTTCAGACGAACCAATCTAATTACTCCTCCAACTTACTTCATACTGTTTGAAGTACATTCAGATCGAAGTAATGTGGCTTATGCGCCGATTAAAAAAAAAAGTCACTAAATTATTATATTCCTACTAGGACTGCATAAACTGATCTCTCCTTGGTGGTCATGTCATAAAAATGAAATTTAATTATTATACAAAAAGCTAAACTACCATAAAGTGTAGTTTACGGTAGTAACCTTGTAAACAGGTTACAAGTTAGGATAGGCTTCTAGCTCCTAAATTAAAAATATAAAAACACAATTCTTACGGAAAGTACATGTATATATATTTCACCAGTTTTTTCAATTTTGTTACAAAATGGTCATGAAGATAGTACTAGGCTACAAAGCCTAGCGCAGAGTAGTGACGCTAATGTCAAGAACTTTTAAACCATCCTTGGAAAAAGCTGCTACTTACAGCAACTATTTGGTCGAACGTACATAAATGGACTGTTGCAGCTAACACTATTAAAATAAACACATTATCAGAGTGGATAAATAAATAACATCAGATGTTTGGAGCGTTTGAGGAGTGAAGCGGCGCCTGGAACAAGGAGGTTCTCAGGCGGACGGGCAGCGTTGGCAAGTTTCACTTGCTTTTACTCAATATTGGCTTATTTAATAAGTGCAGACGTGACATACTAATTGATTGTCAATTTTTTAGTTTACCTTGAAAAGCTTCATAGAAAACACCGACCTCACCTAACCTTCTTAGTATGTTAAGATAAGCATCTTACTGCTTCTTAATTACTTTTATTACTTAACCTATACCGTTGATAGGTTAAGTAATAATTGTAAATAAGAAGCAATCAGATGCTTATCTTAACATACTAAGAAGGTTAGGTGAGGTCGGTGTTTTCTATGAAGCTTTTCAAGGTAAACTAAAAAAGTCACAATCAATTAGTATGTCACTATGCACTTATTAAATAAGCCAATATTGACTAAAAGCAAGTGCGAGAACGGGTTGCAAGTTTAAATGGCCGGCACGAGGACGGGTACCACATGACACTGGGTAATACAGCTACATTATTTCACTTTAGTTCTCAACTTAATCACGCACACACACACACACAAGTCCCAGCTGCGTCTGGGTACAAGTGACAGGATGAACAACCCAGCGGGGTTTCTTCCAATTGGGGAGTGTTGTACATGCTGCTATGGCGGTGTGTCCACTCACAGGATGAGTGGCGCTGCCCAATAAACTCGCCCCTCGGGGCAAAATTAATTTCTTTTTTAAATCTCATAATTCCTTGAACACAGCTCAAGGAATCGTAAGTGATGGTGATCAAGAGTTATACAGTCAAGAGTGATATAGTGATCAAGAGTCACGGTGATCACGAGTAATGGTGATAAGTCCAAGTGCCACAATCAAAACAAGACCAATACTGTGTTAGTCCAGTGTCCGGGACCCACAACAAAGGCAACCAAAAAACTTCAGCCATCACATAAAATAGCAAGAACACAAAAGCAATATGCTATTATATATTCAGACGTACTGTCGAACTTTGGCAGTTTGGATGAAGTTTTCGTTGAGTGCGTGTGTGTGTGTTAAGTCTATTTCCACGCGAGACACTTCAGCAAACCTCGACCGCATAATTATAAAAATTGTGCCACTGCGAATTACGATAAGGTGATATGATAAAATATTGAAACCGAACGATGGGATCGATTCTAGGGGACGCAGTTTCGATCCCATTGTACGGCTTCAATAGATATATCACGTTCTTGTGATTTGAGCGTGAAAAGTGATTATATAATTAGGAAGAGAAGGGAGAGATAAAACAAAAGAGAGCGAGTAAGAGGAAGCCTATCCGGTCCTCTTCCTTCACACGTCGCATTTTTTACGGAATGGACCAATCCGTTATAATTTTAACTCACCAGTAAAAATAAAAGCATTGTAAATTGACGCTATCTAAGTATCAGTCATGATGAGTTAGGTGGGTTGCTTGGGTTTGTACGATTCTGGTTAGGTAAAACAGTTGTATTTTTCACGGAGTGGCAAATCGAGAGAAGAGGCTAAGGTAGCCAGAGGGAAGTCCTACGCCCCTCGCTGTCACACTTGCTGAGGTGAACATTTTGGTCGCAAGAAATATCATTCTTGGCCGTAGCCCAGTAGGCCTGTCACCAATGGAAGGGACGGAGAGGGGGAATGGAGGCTGGAAATGAGAAGATGTGGATAAAAGAGGAATGAGAGAATAAAAGAAGTCAAAGGAGTTTACTTTTCCTAGTCATCTTTTCCTTGTTGCCTCCCCCTCACTCTCAGTTACTCACTGATTATATTTATACAGAAATGTATTGATATAGGTATATGCTCACGTGGAAGCACTCATCTAGCTATGTTTACATGTACGAGTAATAGTTCCCTAACCCCTCCCTAACCCTATGCTAGAACTCCATAATCAAGGGTTGGTCTTACGTAGGTTGTATATAGTTTTGAGGACCTCTTATTTTTAGGATCTTGAATACTCTAGTTCAATGAGCTTCCTCCCAGCTGTTTGAACTGCCCTTAGTATCTTCTCTCCATTACATATCTTCAATACTTTCGACTTATCAGAGTTACAGTCAATAAACTGCCCAACCACTGCTGGTCTCTTCAAGATCTTCGCGTAGCCTCTCATAATGTTAATTCGTAATTCTAATTCATTATGCATCTGCAAACATGAGTATAGATGCAGGCGATGAGTCACAATAACGTGGCTGAAGTATGTTGACCAGACCACACACTAGAAATTGAAGGGACGACGACGTTTCGGTCCGTCCTGGACCATTCTCAAGTCGATTGTCAAGTCGACAATCGACTTGAGAATGGTCCAGGACGGACCGAAACGTCGTCGTCCCTTCAATTTCTAGTGTGTGGTCTGGTCAACATGAGTATAGATGACTATATTTTGTGTCAGGGCGTTGATGTATATCAAGAACGTAATGGGGTCCCGGTTCTTGGGGGTAGAAATAGCCTAGGCTACTCTATCCCTTTGAGATGTATTTTCTTGTCTCAATAAACGTACTTGAACTTAAGTCCCGGTAACATCTGCACCACTTTGTCTTCTCTCACCATTACCCTCTGTTTCCTCTCAGAGAGGTACACTCACCCACCCAACTACTTTTCCGGCTATGTCAGTTTGTTTAGGAGCGTTTCAAGCGAGGATAGGTTTACACTCTTTCTGGCAACCAACGAATTCACTCTTCTCTCTCCCTCATCTTTCTTCATTGTCATTTCATCGCAGAACTCTATTAGTTTCGTTAGACATGACGGCCAGCATTGAAGCCAAGCTGGTGTTTCGAGACAAATTATGGACTACAAGTTCAAGTATGTTTATTGAGACAAGAAAGAAATACATCTCAAAGTGATAGAGTAACTTAGGCTATTTCTACTAAAGTGTTCTGCGAGGCGCTTCATAACGAGCCTCTAATACCTTGTATGTATGTATGTATGTATGTATGTATGTATGTATGTATGTATGTATGTATGTATGTATGTATGTATGTATGTATGTATGTATTATGTATGAGCATCAAGTGAGGGCGGCCAGCTTGCTTTTCATGTCATTTATGGATCTAACTCTCCTGTATTTCTCCCTCCCTCTCCCAGACACCTCTCCCTCCCTCTCCCAGACACCTCTCCCTCACTCTCCCAGACACCTCTCCCTCACTCTCCCAGACACCTCTCCCTCCCTCCCTCAGACACCTCTCCCTCACTCTCCCAGACACCTCTCCCTCCCTCTCCCAGACACCTCTCCCTCACTCTCCCAGACACCTCTCCCTCCCTCTCCCAGACACCTCTCCCTCACTCTCCCAGACTCCTCTCCCTCCCTCTCCCAGACACCTCTCCCTCACTCTCCCAGACACCTCTCCCTCCCTCTCCCAGCAGCTCACACGTAAAGCCACTCAGTTTTATTACCTAACGTATATGCTGGAGGCCAATTTCCACAACACGTTTAAAGATGCCTTATTTCCATATTGATATACTGCTATATGATAATAGCATTATACTGATATAATGATATTGTTATATGTTGCTATACTGATACTGAGGAAACTGAA